TGTTATTATCATTATTATTGCCATTTTCGTCATTGCCATAACAAGTTGTTATTGTGATTCTAAGTATTACGATTATTATTATTGTTACTGTTGTTGTTCGTTAAGGCTATGAAGTGAAGACATTGGAGCAGGTTGCTCCGCTAGCAAATATCGTTGTAACGACGACCGGCTGCAAAGATGTGGTGCGTGGTGAGCATATGATTCAATTGCCCGAAGATGCAATTGTTTGTAATGTTGGACACTTTGATGTGGAAATTGATGTGAAATGGCTAAATACGAATGCAAAAAGTCGAGTTACCATAAAACCACAGGTATTAGCGTTTCTGTTGCTTATGAAATCTGAGAAACACCGTGAACTTGTGTGTGTGTGTGTGTGTGTGTGTGTGTGTATGTGTGCCTGTGTGGGTGTGATGGGTGTGTGCGTGGGTGGGTGGGTGGAGGTGTGTGGATGAATGTGTGTTTGTATATGAATATGTAAAAAGAATAAACAGCACAGTTTAGGATCGAAGAGCATAGCGGAACTGGGTGGACGTGTGGGAGTATGCTAATAGTATCACTGGCATGGGGGGACTTTTACACCGATTGTCTTGCTAACCTTGGTATTCCCTGGTGTGTGCACATGTGTGTATACACACGCACTTACATATATATTCTTTACTTTTGTGAATTTGATTGCTAATACTTTAATTTGCGTTTTTGCAGGTCGATAGATATTTGTTGAAAAATGGGCGACATGTTATTTTGTTAGCCGAAGGGCGTCTGTGTAATTTGGGCTGTGCGACCGGGCATCCGTCGTTTGTAATGAGCAATTCATTCACTAATCAAGTAAGCCTTTTCAGCTTGCGGCACTTTCTGTTCTCATGGAATAATAGGGCGGGAAAGGGAGGTGAGAAAAGGGACGACGGTAAATCCCGCGGATCTCTGGGAAGATGATGTTTAAGTACTTTTCCATAATGTCTCTTCTATTTCTAGTTGTGTCCGAACTACGTGAAAATTTTCCTTTTGCCTCGTACTAGTGAACGAGGAAGATCGAGTGATGAATGAGTAGTGAATGAGACAAATCTTGGTGATATTTTGCAGTTTGGGTATAACTACAAGAAATTTCCCACGAGAGACAAATTGTGCTTTTTCCAGGGGTGGTTTTTTTCTTAAGGACAAAACGCTTCCCTCCTCGTGAAATGTCTTTGAGAAGCCTTGTATAAAATTCTCACTGCGATTCCTGCTCCTTTTTTTCCCAAATCCATTTCACGAGGTTTCAGGTGTTGGCTCAGATTGAACTGTTCACGAAACACGGCACTGCGCAGCAGTACAGCGTTGGTGTTCATGTTTTACCGAAAATCCTGGACGAGGAAGTTGCGCGACTTCATCTCGATAAGCTTGGTGTTAAGCTGACTACACTGTCTGAGGAGCAAGCCGAATACCTGGGAATACCGGTCAGTGGACCGTACAAACCCGATCATTACCGTTATTGATCAATACTGCATCTCTTCTATCGTTGCTGCTTAAGATATTCTAACACACCTCATCCATATTTAAGGCGAAAAGAGTCGTTTCCCTCATTTTTGAGGTTCCTATTTTACTCTGTCACTTTAACCGGCTTCATACAATGTCATAATCGAAACTACATCACCTGATTATCACCCTATTGCTATGTTTCTGATATTCGTCTTCCTTGTCACTTTTCACATTTTCACAAAAATTTCCAATTTTTTTTATTTTGTCTTTTTGCTAGAAGCCACAAAATTTTTCAACCTCCTTTTTTATTTTGTTTTATTCCTGTTTCAACCTCCTTTTTTATTTTGTTTTATTCCCATTTCAGTTTTGTTTAGGCATTATTATGCTTTTTTTTTAATGTTAGGGAGCTGGATTTTGTTGCGCATTTAATGTTGTTATTGTTCAAATGCTGTTAAGGACAATAAACATTTCAACTGTTACCTCACCTCGACTGTTTCATCTTTCGCATCGGACAGCTTAATCTGAATTTTTGGTGTTAACAATTAGGGGACAAAGGATCTTGGTGATAAGCCGACTGCAGCATCCAGGTTGACCTTGAATGCCAAAGTGTTGAAGACGTACTGGATACAACGGTTTATTAGGTTGGAAATTTGGGGGGTACGAATTACAGTTAGCATAGCACTTTCGTGCTAGAAAATTATAAATTTGGGATTTTGGCGGTAAAACAGAATTTGGGAGGATGACGGTCTCCTGCACTGCATTATATACTGAGATCCTTGTAGTTTGTATTTGAAGGCAAAGAATCACATAATACCTCATTTCACCCAGTTGCATCGTCATGTACCGCTCCCTCCTCACCTCCCCCCCCCCCCCCCCCCCC